AATGCTCCCATTCTCGTTCGCCGTGAGTGGGAAGATCGGCGATATTTCCCAGGAGGGGCACTGTAACGCTCGGGTGTCAGTAGTCGACCGCTGACTTGAGTGATATTTGTTCGAAGTCGTGTGAAGCTCTCAAGGGAAGGCAGCTCTATAGCCACTCCCATACTCGAAATATCTGAAGGTAAAAATGACTCCGACTATTACTCACGGCCCTTAGGTCCTGGAGGCAGAGGACCTGGCTTCTTTTCAAAGATGGACAGGATGACCTTCACGCCAATAACTGTCGCGGCGGCCAAGAGGAGGGTTCCCACGAGGATATCGATGGTGACCATGGTGATAAACACTGCCGTAAAGTTGAAGACGTTTGGTGGAAATTCTTTAATCTGCTGAGACGATAGAGCGAGCAGGAGGGGAATTGGATGTTGAATGCACCCGTTAGTATTATTTGTATACACTAGAGATATCCGACATGCATGCATGCAAGGCAGTTCTCATCGAGCCAAACATCGTCTCCCTATGGATCGGGTGACATTCGTGGCGAGTATTAGGTAACCTGAAACCTGTGTACAGCGCTATAAGTAGGTACGCTGATCTTACCACACCCCCCACGGCAGTTTCCTTGTCAAGACCGACCAATCGCATAGAATATTATACCTATCTGCTACCGGTTGTGTGCACTTTGATGCAATGACCAGGTGTTGAACCAACTATCACGCGTCGATTTATACTCGCGTACATACAAGTAGATGCTACGTCCCGCACCAGATAGGTAAAAGAAGACGAATGATTGGAGGTCGATGTACAGAATACTACGCACACTTTACGCCAAGAACAATCATTCGTGCAATGACGTCTGTACGAATCTCGACATTCCTGCAGCCGTCGCAGTTAACTGCTCAATTCGTTGGCCGCTAGTTATTTCAAAGACCGACGTCAGAACTAATTTCCTTAGTTATCCAAGTTCGAAGCTCAACGGCCAGTCTACCCCGTAAGCATGCATACGGAGTGCCGGATCAAGCTCGGCAATATCAACGCTCAGGATCTTAGTCAGCTTCTCTAGTGGAGCGTGGAGTACGATCTGCTCGGCTTCTTGTGGAGATTTTGCAGCCATGAGAAGAAGTAAATGGTCCCAGGAATTACTTACAAGCCTGGTAACGATAACCGCGCACTCTGGATTCATCCTTTCCTTCTTATGCAGGGGTCGGCGGTAGCGCGATATCACGGCAATCAGCTCCCGTAGTCATATGTGACCACCCAATAGAGAAAAAGTATTCCATCAGGGCTGGCTTGGTGGCGAACACTATAATACTCGGCGTCAGTTCTCGCTATCTTGGCGTGATTTGTAAGGGCTTTAGAAGCTTATAGACACTGTCTTAGCTCAAAAAAAGGAATAATTAACGCGCGAAATTACTTACTGCCAGCGTCATTCATTATTGGCACGTCCAATGCGACAACGTTGTGACCCCGAGATGTAAGTTGTCTAGCTAGGGTGCCTTGATACGAGTTTCCGGCGGCGCTGTTTGAGACAATGCATTAGTGATTGCTATGAACATCCCCGCTTTACACGATTTCAAAGGTAGGTATATAGGAGCAACTAGCCCAAAACTTCCAAAGGGGATAAATGAGACTCTAAATACGTACCAGTTGGCTTGTCCAGGGCTCCCAATCGTTGTGGCCAGAAGTCTAAGCTGCTATCTGCATTCCTGGGACTTGGGGTCTCCTACAAATTCCAAGTGCCAGAGACTTTGACTTTAAGCGCGCTTTGCTATTGATCGATAGTTATATCGCTGAACTTATTGTCCTACACGATGTCCAATATTTAGTAACGGGTGTTTCACGCCCCCTTCATTCACAAGAGTATCAAGACTTACGTTGAGAATTATCGAGGCCTGTATGCAACCTCGAACCGGTGACATTGTGGAGAGGCACGAGGAAATAGCATACTCTAACGCACTCTTGTCGGTAATATCACAAGCCGGAGCGGCAACATTCACGCCCTGATGTTGTAGATCTACAAGTCTTTTCGCTGATTTGTCGACTGCCCCTGATCTCGAAGTCACAATTACATTTCTAATTCCCTGATTCGCCATCCACCGAAATATCTTCTGTCCGAGTCCCCCGAACCCACCGGAGACGACATACATAGTATGTGGCGTCTGCAGAGAACTTTGCAAGTGGCCGAGGTCGCTGCAGCACTGCGGCAATATCGTGTTCGTGGGGCTCGACAACTACTGTGGTTTTCTAATGCGCTTGCTAGACTGCATGTGACGCAAGGCATCTTGGATGGCGGAAATGGGGTATGTCGTTATTGGCGTTGCTCCTTCCAGGCTTAAAACATTATCAGTAGCTCGTCAGAACAAATCGTCCAGCCGTCCCATGTCATTTTGTTGCATGTAGTTCAACTCGCTGGCCTCGAACCTCACGCCCCAGGCATAAATTCCCATCGATATCGTCGTCCTTGATCCGATATCGGTTAACCCGAGCTCGCCGAAGCGCCGAAGCGCCGGAATGGTGCTACGCATTCCCAAGAGACTCGAAGCATTTCGCCGGCAAGACTGCTTATGACTATGCCGACGCCACGCCCGTTTCGCATGACGCCAGCCTTGAAGTCAGATCCCGGATTGAGGAGATGTGGTCGCGCGGCAGTCCGTATGTTTTCTCAAGGAAGTCCCGCTTCTCCAGGCTACCAACAGTAGCGAATACCTCGGCGCCGTCGCGCTGCGCCAGCTAGATGACAGCCTAGTCAACGCCACCAGCTGCTGCATAGATCAGCACAGTTAACCCCCGTCCCCTTCTTTTACGCTTTTCCAAGTCTCCGATATCATATAGACAGGCGTATACGTCGTATGCACAATTAGTATAATCGCCGCATCCTCAAAGGACAATTTTCCTAGTGTATAGGCAGTAGTACCCTTCAATCCCCTGACGTGAGTAGAGAAGGTGGCCCTGAATGCAAAGCCAAACACCCTATCGCCTTTCTTGAAGCGTGTCACGCCCGACCCTACTCTCGTCACGATCCCCGCCCACAATTCGCTAAGGAACGTTGGAATGACGGCGTTTTTTACCTTGCGTTCAGGATTCGAAATTATGGGCGAGGGGCAGACTCGTAAGGCATGAGCTTCTTCAGAAGGGGGACTGTTGAGCAGATCTTGGCGCAAGCTTGGCCTAATTTGTGGTCGACGAAAAGGTCTGACACGGTCTGGAAGAGCTTATCAAATACAAGTCCAACACTCTTCCATGCGTCACATATATCCCCAGTTGCAACCTGGGTCCTACATTTCTTTTTGGCCCCAGCGATGCCCTTGATACAGTTCGCTCGGAGGAGTTCCTCTTCTCGACCACCATCCACGATCGTCTCAGGCTCGTTGTATTCAATCAACACTTGTCCCCGGCAATGCTCTCACCTTTCGTCATCATCTTGCGCCGTGCATTCCTAAAACTCGCGCCATTTTGAGGCTGTGGTTTCTAACGCGGCCTGCTTGACAGGTCGAATATACAAATGTGACTCAACACCCACAGCGTCATCGGGGACGACAAGAGCTGTCTTGAAAGAAACCTCATTGAATCGAAATCCTTTGATCGACGATTCTCCGAGACCCGAATCCAGTTCCGCCATACCGCATCATATTTCCCATCTCAGTCGTTCACCGGTAATCCGAATAGCGCATAGCGTGGGTATGGGCGATTGCGGAAGTTTCTGCTGAGCCGACTTTCACACCAGTATTCCTTGCTATAATTGAAGGCATACCGAGGAAGGCCAATCGCCATGACGGCTTATACTCATCAATGTGATTGACCTTTGTTAGATCAATTGAGGCGCCACGAGTGAACAATGAACCTGCTGCTTGTAGAGAGGTCTGCAGGTCTGCTCCGCCACGCCTAAGGATGTTATAGTACTTGACAGCACCATTACCCCTGACCTCGTCGACGATGTTGCGCACTTGACCGCTGGGAGCAGCGTGAGGGCCGACCTCTAAGATGTCTGTGATAATTTCAATTTGGCTGTTTCCTAGCCTAGCTTGAAGCATAGCTGTAACAGATTCATAGAATCGTACCGGTGAGACCAGGTTCGTAGTCCAATATGTCGCATCTTGCAGCCTAGAGGAGTCAATGACAGTGCCATTTGTCGATGAAAAGAATTGCGGCTTGGGATATTCAGAGGCGAGTGTCTGTCTTGGTTACAGCCCGTATTTCTAATAACCTTTAAAACGTTTGGAGTTTAGTTGTAATCGTGTTAAGCATGATAGGTAAATGAGGAGCGTAGAAAGTTCCTGAAAAAAGATTCTGCCTAAGCAGGAACCGCTGTGCTTTGAAAAATGGCTATGAAAACGAAGGAAAGTGATTTTGGGGATTACTTACAGGCACGGATGGCTATTTAAGAAATAACGAGAGAAGTTAGTATCCCATAGCTTTGTCTAAGTTTGTAGGTAGGGAAAAAATGCAACTCACTATCTCCATCGCGAAGAGAGCCTGACAATCACTTAAGAATAAGAGCCCCGATGCCTTCGCTCCTTTCATAACCGTTAGCCCGCTCGCCGAAGCTGTATGAAACGCCATCTCGATTGAGAACACTAAGAGTATTGAGCTCGATTCTCATTTTCCAGGAGAGTATCATATTAATACCACAGGCGATGGCCTAAATGTAGAGGCACTCAGTCCATGTAACCCAATGGTAACGTGACTAGTTGGACCATACTATATCGCAGTCTCTTGCCTTTAAGCCAACGATGGCCTGGTGCAATGCTACCATACTGCTCGAGAAGGCGGTGTCGATGCTCATAGCTGGTCCTTGTAAATCGTAGAACCAGGAGACTCGACCGGCAAGAGTACTGGCGATTGTACTAGATCCCATGTACATCATAGGAAGCGCTGTATCTTTGAGGAGGACATCTTGATAATCTCAAATAAAAGCTCCCACATACTTTGATAATTATTAAAAAGCTCTCCTACAAAGCCTTTTACTTATTAATATAAAAATCATAGAATAATTAAAGGCTTTAAAACTCCGAATCGGGGAATCGAACCCCGGGCTTGACACACCAATACCACTTCTTAACCTTAGGTAAGGTTGGCAAGAAGGCGGATGAGAGCGTCAAATGTTAGTCGCTACACCAATTCGGATGCAAGCGAAGCCGTCTGCTCACTCGTAGAATCGAACCACTAGTCTTGTCATAGCATCTAAGTAGTGACAGACTCTTCGTGAAAAGGTCAGTTTACTGTGACACGCTATACAACCTAGTCAAGCGGGCGAGGTTGATTGGCTGATTGGCTGATGGGAATCGATTCAGAAAATGCATCTATAGACTATATCTACTGGGATCAAGTTGTTGAGCAAACTCGAGGTGGGCTCTCAAGAGTCAAGAGTCTAGGACCCGGGCGATTATTGTCGTATTGGATTTATATAGCGCTCTATGTTTTTTTTTTTTTTTTTCAATCTTAATTTTAGATAGCTTATCTTTATAACCTTTACGTATGCTTTTATTTCGAATTGGTCAATCTACTTCCCTTAATTCGTAATAGTTAATATGTGATTTGTTCCGATAGCATAAAGGTTGTGGATTTTGGTTGTTTTCTGAGTCCGCCGCGGCCGGCTTCGCCAACCTGTCTCATTATACATCGCGTATAATAATTAGTATTACCACCTATCTTGAACATTTTACCATCATAGAATGATGCCAGCAAACAATATCGCTATTGTCTTCTAGTGACGAATGGAATGGCGCGATGCGGAGTGTGAGAACGCTTTAAGGGGGTGAATCAATAAACACTATCTTCATGCATCCTTCGATAGTAGTAGCAAAATAGAGTAGGTGGTAGCTAAGAGAGGGCCATCGACATCTGTCCTACTACGTCGTGGGGCATTTTTCGATCCATGCCGCGCCTCGATCATCAAGATGTCTGAGAATACTCCTCGTGCATTTAGGTCAAGGAAGGTTCTTGGAAACGCCGTCTCTTGTACAACCATCTTAACGACGCCGAGCTTACTTTATAGTTTATACCTACTCCCCAAGGGCCAGCTGAACATCGATAGAAGATGCAGCAGGAGGGCCACATCTCGGGCTGTGTAATTTCTAGTTAAAAATAGACGGATGAAGTCATTTCGTTGTCCATCAAGATATTGCCAAGATCTACACACTATCATCGGGACCGGAGGACCGGGACACCATTTCGGGGGCTCGTAATCCTATCACACAACGAGCGCTGTCTCAGCATCAGCACAAAGATCGGCACAAGATCGGCGCAAGCGACAGTGAAGAGGTTTCTGACTGCGAGCTACCAAACGTAGTGAGAGTGGCTAGTTGAAACAAAAACTTTACGTTTCCCTAACGGTTTTGCTAGAAAACAGGATTGGCTAACGACAAAACGAATTTTAAATCCCCAATTCGCCCAAAATAAGCTAGGTCCAAATTCGTTTGGTGTCTGAGATGGTGTTTCTTGCTCTGTTTGTAACAAGCATGTAATCCACTGTTTTTACTAACGATCAACATTGTATGATGGATAGGATAGTAGTCTATTACGCTATGCTATGTATTCTGCTTCGGGCCAATGCCGTAATAATGGCGATGATTATGCGCTGCATAGTTAAATTCGGGAACCCTGCTGGTTCTCTCGCTCTCCCTTATTTGCTTATTGAGTATGATAGGAGTGTACTCTCCCTGATCAAGATGCAATCCCTCTAGTAGCCCAAACCCGCTAACCCACCCACGTTTACAAGCTCATGAATTTCCTCCTCTGCGTTACGCTTGAAACCTGTCAATCTCAAGTTTCGCTTAAAAAATCTGGACACCTGGTCACTCCCACGCCGCAGCGTACCAGGGCTATTGCTGATATCCGGTTCAACGAGTTGCCAAAACTGTCCAGTAAACGTCGGGTAACTTGCTTCAATACGAGCTCGCCTTTGTCGTCGGCTGCGGTCGCGCCATTGGGCACGCACTCTTTGTCTTGACTCGTTCACCCTGTTATACAAGAGAGATGGTAGAGTAGTAATGCGGCGGCGTAGCTGTTGTGCCTCGCGATGAAGTGCGGTCTCAGTTTGCTAAAAGAATTCAGCCACGAACGCCCAGGGCCCTCCCGGGCCTGCTCTGGTGGCTTCCCGTTGCTCACGAGCCCGGTTGCGACGTTCCTCTCCCTCGCGAAGGCGTCTTTCGACATCCGGCCATTCAGCATCTGCCCCTAATCGCTCCTAGCACTCGATCGTGCCCCAATCCGGATGTTCTATGTCATCATAATTCACCCACTCCTCGATGTAGACCTGTCGGGTCTCTGCCGTGTTCATGCTAGAGGGATCTGGAGTTGTTGCCGTTGCGGTAGCTAGTCGGCTATGAGTTGCATCTACGGATTCGCCAGTTTGCTCTGTGACATGGCAGGCCACAGTACCACGGGGCTGATTTGAGCCGTGCGACGGCGCTGGCGAGGATGTAGCCGACCGCTTACTAACCATCGCCCTTGTTGACGATAATGATGCATGGTCATCAGTTGTCTGGTCTGGAGCCATGGCGTCAGGTACTGGGGATGGTGAGTTGGCGGGTGGGCGTGATGAATGCACCATGGTATATGACCCTGCTGTGGATGGCACCGCGGGAGTAGGAAAGATGGCGGATCTTCGGGATCCTGGGGGTGGGCAGGGTGACTCCTCGGCCAATCCAGTGTTTCCCATTGTTGACCGGGTATTAATTGATAGTAGCTGAGAATAATGTAGTAGATTTCTGATACTTTGGCCGTAGATCTGCTCTAAATACCTAGGGAGCCGGTCTGGAAAGGTGGTAAAAGAATCCGTGCCCAATAGGTACCAGCCTGTATCCAAATCCGAATATGAGAAAAGGGCCGGCCATCTCGAGTACTGGTAGGAGCACTTGTAGCAAACGGGTAAACTTTGGGAAAGGGTATTGGGGCAACACCTATCCTGACTTTCCGGCGTTGTGTTTATGTATTAATTGACAATAATACTGCCTAGGTAGGAATGCGTATGTTATACAAGTCATACATGTTACTAGGTAGGTCATTCCCGTCTGAACATAAAGTAAGGTTGAATGTAGGGTAGCTACTTAGTACTAAGTAGAGGTAGGTATTGGATGCAGCTGTAGCCAAGGTAACGAAGTGGTTGCCATTGATTGGCCATCTGCACTCGACAAGGTGGGTAATACGGGTACGGTAGACCACTTAAGTAGATAGTGAATGGATGTTTGCAGCAGATAGATGAGCGAACGTCATAGTATCGAGAACTAATCCTCATTGGGCACCCAGTCCTGGCGGGCCCATGCGCCCGAGGATCCCCCGGCTGCTGGAACCTACAGCTCCAGCCAACCACTGTCAAACTTTCTTCCAGCACTTGACCGAAACACATTGCTTGACCACCGAGGAGCCAACTCCTCCTCTGCCATCAAGACAACTCACGCATCATCAGCATTGTCCCCCGCGGCCTCGCAGAAGCATCGGGGTTGACTGCGTTCTGGTCGATCGCTGTGTTTTCTTCTGCTCCTCTCTCTTATCTGCCGACCAGCCCGCATCAGACAGCATGTCGCGAGGTGGCACCACCCTCTACGTGACTGGCTTCAGCCAAGGCACGCGTGCTCGCGACCTCGCCTACGAATTCGAACGGTATGTCAGCTATCCTCGTCGTCCTCGTCCTCGTCCTCGCGCACGGTGAGATCGATCGACCGTCCAGCCTGCGGAAACGGTGTCCGATGTCACCATATCTCCACCCGTGCCTCGTCGTCCACCTGTTCCAGGTCCTCCCCGTCTTCCGTCTTCGTCGTTCTTGACTTCGTCGAGTCCTCGAGCCGTCTCCTTGTCCTCGCTCCCACCTCCCACGCACGCCCACCACCCATTTCAGTCATCTTGCCCCCACGATCGAGCGGTCGAGCAGATCATCAGTTGCATCGCGCGCGCGCCGAGTCGCCTGTCTGTCGTGGCAGGACAACGAAGCTTCTACGCACTTGATGCGACCCATCGGGAAAGTACCATATTTTGTGAGATTGCTGACTTTACCACCTGTAGCTATGGTCGCCTTGTGCGCTGCGACATCCCGGCCCCTCGGAGTGCCAGTAGCAGGCTGTAAGTTTCAAACACCTTAATTACGGAGTCAGCGTATCGCTAATTTGGACCGAAGGTTTGCGTTTGTGGAGTATGAGGATCGCCGAGATGCGGATGATGCCTACCATGAGATGCATAATAAGCGCATCGGTCGGGATGACATCTTGAAGATTGAGGTACGCATCCCTGGTCCTGGCCTTCACATCAATTGTAGACTCTAACGTCTATCCTAGTGGGCTCGTACACCCCCTTCGGCTTCTTGGCGTTTTGACTCTGGCCGTGATCGGGATCGGCGTGACGGGGCCCGTGGGGCTCGATCTCCTCGTCGCGGCCGTTCTCCCTCACCTCGTCGTAGTACTCGCGACTACTCTCCTAGAAAGGATGATCGCCGTGACCGTGACCGGGATCGGGATTATGACCGTGATCGTCGTGACACCCGAGACCGCTCTCGCAGCCCTGACACTCGGTATGCAGCATCAACGTCTTGTTAACAAAACATGTTGGGGCTTGAACTGACAACTACGGGTTATAGTGACCGCGATCGTGATGACCGTGATGACCGCGATCGTCGCGAGAATGGCACAAACGGCGATGAGCGCAAAGGTACTTTACCCGCAATAGGAAAGTGTTGTTAGTGGATTTGGCTAACTCTTTGCGTAGCTGTCGATAGCCCGCCACCCCAACATGACGACTTGGACGTTGCTGACTGAAAGGTACATCTCACGTAGTAGTTGTGGTCCATGTAAATTTTTCGGGTGCGAGACAGGTTCCTTTGTTACAGCGGGCTTCTAGATTTTATCCTTGTTGGACCGTTGCTCATCTTCTAGTTCCGCCGACCGAAACGCCTCGCAGTTCAAGCAGGAGGCAGAGTCACAGCTTCTCACTAGAATCACAACTTTTCACTACAAGTAGCGGACCGTGTTCGATGGAGTTATTAGGTAGTAAAATTCACTTTCTTTTATATGTACTGTTATATGTGCCAAACCCATTTCTGACATGCACGGATAACCACCAAGAACGGGAAATGAAACCAGTGAGTCTACATTAAAAGAAAGCATAAGCAAACCACAACAGCGGACAACGAGTCA